TTATGTGCGATAAGGGTCTCATTGTAAGGTCTCCTTATTATTAGCTGTGGATTTCTTTCTATTGCCTTCCATTTTAAAAGTACTGCTTAAAGTATCTCCTCCAACTTAAAAATTTTGCAAAGGACCAAGGCAGCCAAGAGTTTAAACTTATATCATGGTGGTTACAATGACCATGCTAGTTAGGTTTCTATCTGCTCATCTTTGCGTACAATCTATTTTGCAAAACGCTGCGGAGTGTACATGTCAGGTCATTATTTGAGTGCTGCAAGGTCAGCTGCCTTGTCTCTAGACTTCTGTTTAGTTTGCTTTTATTTCATCTTTTTACTGTATTGCATTTTTTCAGTGGAAATAAATTGTTCAGTATATATGCATAGAATTCTCATCTAAACCCCTCAGGAAATATTTTCTGGAAATACAAATACATGACACACCACCCCTGGCAAGTAATATTTTTTTGTACACTTTTTGTGTTGGAAAGAAATCATGGATGATTTTACTTACTAACTAAGTAGAAGCATTTCTTTGGGTGTATCTCACTTTCACATAGTGAATAGGCAAATGTAATTGGACACTGTAATATTAAAATACTGAATATAATGTTTGAAATAATTTAAATTAAAAATAATTTTTAAAATGTACAATTTATTTCAAACCTCTTAATTTGGTCAGATAAAAAGAAAAATGAGCAATTCAATTTAATTCCTGTAGTCCATGGAATTTTATTCTAGTAAAAAAATAAGTGGATGGTTAAGAAGGCCTGTGAGGAGTGTAGACGTTCCTGATCTACTCATCAGTTGTGCAGGTGACAATCTCATTATGGTTTATCTAATTTAATTTTCTTCATTATGCCTTTTTTTCAAACTCAGGCAGCATTTCCTCACACATGTGTAGTTTCACACAAGTGTATTAAAAATGAACAATGAAACCAAAAAATCCTGATGTCAAGCTCTCAAAATTTAGGAAATATCAAAATTAAGGTGGCATGAAGTGCTTTAAGTCCTTTTGTGGCTATGCATGAATTTGCAGCCTTTAATCACTTCCATTTGTGATTTATTTATTTATTTATGTATTTATTTATTTATTTTCCTCTATAGGACCCCTGCCTTCTCTGATTTAGCTGTTGGGGGTCACTAAAAAGGATTCATTTGGGTTGAATATTAGGAGAAGATACTGTCTTTAAGTTTTGTAAGATTAAAACTGAAGCGATGATTTCAGGAACAGAAAAAAAAGGAATCTTGACCTTATGTTTGAAGTAGTTGAGTTGTGACCAGAAAATTGAATTTTACCTTTGTCTCACCCCAGAGCTCCTGTGAATGCTAGACAAATTAAAATTTTTGAATGTTTAGTAATTTTTTCTCCTTGTTTGCTGTTGTCCAGCCTGGATCCCTTGGCCCAACATGCAAAAATGCTGAATTTTCAGACCTGTGGTGTGTGATACTGTAAGCTGTGTTTTGAAAGTAGTAAGTCTCCGTAATGATGTGGTCTGGACTATTGCAAATTGAGTAATTTAATAGAAATTTCAATCCTTACTCTCCCTGTTTCTTGGCTTCCATTTTGCAAAATGTCAATACTGCTCCTTTGTTTTAGACATTTTCCTTAGATTTGGATGAATTGTTCTCTGGAGCTGCCTTTTCCTGTCCACTGACTATAGGAGGGGGCCGAGACAGTTTAGATTAGCAAGGGTTATAGTTTAGGTGGGATTTTCCTCGCTTGAGTACACACAGAAGATGATTGAACCAGCATTGCTTGGACACACTTTATCTGGGCATTTACTAAATGTTTGGAACAACACATCTGCAATATAGCCAATATCTTTAA